ACTGCCGGCGCGGCGTTAATGTATGCCTGCGCCTGCTGTTTCGTTTAGGCGGCGCAGAGCGCTTGCGTGAATGTTCGTGTGTGATAATTAAAGCAATTCGTGTTCCCTAATCATTCCAAAATATCAAAAATGCACAACGTTAATATTCAAGTTTTCACTTCTGCCGGCACTCCTGGAGTGCAACCCGTCGTTTTTTTTAGAATAAGGGTAACAAACGAGCACTCAGTCCACCCGATGAAGCGGATGCTGTGGCCATAGACATCTACATTTATCCTCGATTAAGAATGAAAACGCAAATGCGTTGTCAGCCCTGAGGACTAAAATAGTTTCCAGTAAAAAAGGGTCTCGGGATCTCTACACTCACCATACGAAACACTGCAGCATTAAGTTGTTATTTTACGCTGTGAGCGCTACAATACGCGCTACAACCATTACGGTGAAACCTTACATCTTTGCCCACATATTTCGGTTTTTATTACTTTTTTTCAAAAAATAGCCACTTTATTTTGATGGTTGCTGAAGCTTTAAACGACACTCAATGCAACAAATAAACTGTCAAAACCGGGTGACATAATTCCTAACAGATGCTGAGAAAAAAACAAAAACAGACGCGGGCAAAGTTATCTCCACTTTCTTACATCTTTGCTCAACCTAAATTTCTCAGCAACTATAAGTTCTATGACTTTGATTTTAAGATATATTGTTAGCAAACCGACAAAATGGTATACCATTACATTTTCAAATAAATAGAAGTCCATTTTAAGTTTTAATGGCGGTGGGCAATTTATCACCACATTTAGTCACACTTTCATACAAAGAGATTTGAGGTGCTAGGGCTGTGTATCAGATGAAAGGAAAATAATAAACTGATTTTAAGGCAATAATGTATATTTTATTTTAAAAATTAAAAACACAACTAACTGAACAACAAAAAAATCAAGAAAATCAATATTTAGATAGGAAAGTTGTAGAAAATTGTCTCAGAAATTAACCCTGATAGTTGAGATAAGGAAAATTAGACAGCGACAATACTTATTTAATATAATACGAGGCCAGCTTATACTGATTTTATTACCACTGATGGGCGTGGTTCACCTACTGTGCGTACCAATCCATTTTGTCGGCCATTTTTGTCTGCGATCGTTAATGTCTGTCGTTGAGGAGACAATTCTCTTTTAGACTTAATTTTTTTTTGCAAACGAATTGCCGCATGAATCTTATTTAAAAACTTTAGCTTGAAACTGAGAACATTTAAGCTCTCTCTTTTTGGGAAACTAGCGGTTTCTGACAATAATTCTCCACAAATATATACCTATTTATTATATTTAAAATAATATATAAAACGATATCTAGTTACCTATATAGTTATCAGAACAGTAGTCATTGTTATACAATTTTTTTATACACCTATATACATTTATTTATTTTATTAATCATACCTATATATTTACACACACACAATATATATATATATATATATATATATATATATATATATATATATATATATATATATATATATAATTTTTATTTATTATACCTAGGTACATGTTTCCTTGTTTTTTTTTTTCAATAGTGTCAACCCTAATACCATTTTTGAGCTGGGCAATGTTGTCAACCTCAGTTTATAAAATTGCTTACAACATTACCCTCACAATTTTTTCGCTAACTAAGACAAGTGTTAGAAAGAGACCTTGATTAAAAGCAGCAACAATTAATGCCCTACACGTAAATAATAATAAATCTTACCTGCGCAGGGTTTCTTGGCAATGCGGGATGCAAAACTACAACAATGTTTTTGCACCACCTTCGACACTGTCCCCTTGACGGTTGCTGACTGATGCCTGAATATAGTTAGCTACGATTGTAGTAGTCAGTGCTGTCAAACGGATACTCTACTTTTCCCTAGACACCATACAAAGTTGACTATTGTTAAAATAAAATGTCTATCGGTAGTTTTAGTTAATTTTCGTGTTTGGGCAAAGATGTCCCCCAAGGGCAAAGTTGTAAGGTTTCACTGTATATAGCTGCAGCGTGGCTCTACCACGTATAAAATCTTTTTAATCTGTGTTCCTATTATTGACATTTAAATTTCTAATTAGATCTATCATTGAAATATGATGTATTTGTCTATTTTTCCAAACTATTTAGTAAAGATAACCTCACAATAAATCTTAAATCATGTAGACTGCAATAAGAGTAGGAGTATACGTTTTAATAATGGGTAACATGCAAGTAAGTATTGAGGAAATAATATATATTTTTTTAATTTTAAACAAGGCTCTATGGGTTCGTTGTAAAATTACCAACAACGATATCCAAAGTTGAACAAGAGTAACTAATTTAGCCCGTGTGTGTATGTCGACCAAGTAGCTCGAAGAATGCACAACCGATGAGGAAAGGTTCTCGAATTAAAGCATTATAATTATTAAGCCTTCAGAGACAGCGTTCGGTGACTCCTCCACGACTTTTCTGCCTTTAGGACGCACTTAAGAATAAGGTAATAATAATAAATAAATAATAAAATAAGAGTGACAAAGAGCACACAGTCCACCTGATGGTAAGTGGTCGCTGTGGTCCATAGACATCGATCATCCTCGATTAAGAATCAAAATGCAAATGCGTTGTCACCCATGAGGACTAAGATGGAACGCCTCTTTTCCAGTAAATAGGGTCTCCGGTTCTCTACACTCACCATACGAAACACAGCAGTATTAAGCTGCTATTTTACGCTGGTATTCTGTGAGAGCGTGGTCCTTCCCTGGTCGAGCCGAACCCATTCGTGCTACAACTATCCTATTAATATAGCTGCGGCATGGCTCTACCACGTATAATTTGGTGAAATATTTCATAGCAGGGGAAATTAATTTATCAGGAAATTGTAAGGTTCTAGTTATCAACATCATCATCATCATCATTACAGCCATTCAAAGTCCACTGCTGAACATAGACCTCCCCCAAGGCGGAGCCACCAAGCACGGTCGTGAGCCACCTGCAGCCATCGACTTCCTGCATGTCTTACAAAGTCCATGTAGTGGGTGGTCACCCACACTAGTCCTACCAGTACGAGGCTGCCACTCGTCCACCTTTTTCCCCATCGTTTGTCGGTTCTTCGAGCTGTATGACCAGCGCATTGCCAGTTCAGCTTACGAATTCGTTGGGCTATGTCGGTCACTCTGGTTCTACTGCGGATATCCTCATTTTTAAGTTTATCACGCGGAAAAACCTCGAGCATAGCCCACTCCATAGGTCTAGTTATATTTAAATTTATCAGATTAGAAATGTATGAACAAAACTACGAGTAGGTATCCCAAAAAAAATAATATATTTAAAAAGAATGAAAAATAGTGCAAGAAAATAAAGAAGTAACGACTGAGGCATTGTTTAGTGTACAGTGGATCTCCGGTAATCCGGCTCCTGGCTAATCCCTCCCCCACCCCCTTTCCCCCATATATGCACAATCGAGTCACGTCATGAATCCACCACGGGGAGAGCTTTTCTTCACGAATACGTGGTTATCCACAAGTTGTAATTATTTCTCGGCACCACGAATATAATTATCTCGACGCGTATTGTCTCGGTTTGAATGTGACTATGGTAGCGGCCTAGCGGGCATTAATTATTTACTGTTTAGGTATTCATTGTGCATTAGGTCTGTGACATTTTTTATTATTTTATATTTGATATGTAATTTGTCGGATTACAAGGTTACTCCTTTTAGGTACAAGTTACAAATTTAATAATCCGACCCCGCCTTGCAAAACGTTTTTCGGATTACCGCGGGTCAAGTGTATTTACATATTGTGGAAACCACAGAAATCGAGAGCAAGAAATCCATCTAAGTAAATAAGGGCGTACATGAGACGTGATCTCTTGCACGTGAGAGTGTAGTTCGCAAGGCAATAACGGGAAAAAGAACTTTATTTAACTTAAGGTTGATTTCACACTAAATGTTATTTAATTTATGTCTTTTCATAGTTTATATTCATGCGGACAGTATTTAGCTATGATTTTGTACGTGACCCATTATCTAGTTCAGGGTTTCCCAACCTTGTTTTTCTTGAGGCTCCCCTGACTATTAATAATATTTTCATGCCCCCCCCCCCCTTTACTTTTACAATAAATACAAAAAATGCACATTATGTACTTAAAAGCCTTTATTTTTTAGAGATTTTAATTCTAATAAACAAACAAAAAATTTAATAAAATAAGAGTAGGTATTAATGAGACACTTGAGCTTGCATGTTCTGTACCAGTTGGTTGATTCTAGGTTCTGTTCTTGCCAGAGCTATCATCAGGTCGTTACTAACATCAAGACGATTTCGCTGTTTAGTTTTAATTAAAACTAGAGCCGAAAAGCCTGTCTCACACAAGTAAGTTGAAGAAAAAGGAATTAGTACTCGTAAAGCAAGAGAGGCAAGTTTCGAATTAACAGGCAATCTTTTGATCCAAAATTTCTCCAATGTCAAAAGATGGAAGTCATCTTTCATGGACGAATCAGCTTTCATTTCTAGAAATTCATCCTGAATTTCTTCTGGTAATTGTAACACATCGACAACAAATGGATTTCTTGTCATGTGCCATATTGGTGACTCTGAATCGATGTCTCGATAGTATCGGCGAAATTCGTCTTCCAGCGCTTGTAAATGAGTTTTTATGTCAGCTTCCAAATTTGCGTCTAGTTTGTTATTTTTGATTGCTTCGAACAGCCGAGAAAAAGATATAACATTTTCAGAAGACAATTTTTTATTCCAAAGTTGAAGCTTTGCTATGAACCCCTGAATATAATCATAATTGCTTATAATAGTGCCGTTTCTGCCCTGAAGTTTCAAGTTTAGCTCATTCAAGGCACCAAATATGTCAGTTAAATAAGCCAACATACATTGAAATGTGTCATCTTTGAACATTGTAAGCAAATCGTGTTTTTCTTTGAACTCAAGAAAAAGAATTACCTCTTCTTTCAATTCATAAAGGCGAGCCAACATGTTGCCTTTGGACAGCTAGCGTACTTCTGTATGGAACAGAAGAACTTTGTGATCAGAATCAAGATCCTCGCAAAGTAAAGTAAATAACCGACTGTTCAAAGCGCTGCTCTTGGTGTAGTTTACAATCCTTATAGCCGAGTCCAAAGCCTGGCGTAATTTCTGTGGCAATGTTTTGGAAGCCAAAGCTTGTCTATGAATAAAACAATGTGTACTAACCATTGCGGGATTTTTTTCCTTGAGCTTTATAGCTAAGCCCGATCGTACACCTATCATTGCAGGTGCGCCATCTGTGCAAAGTCCAATGAGCTTATTCCAATCCAAATCATTTTTTTCAACAAAATTTGATATTGAGTTAAATATATCTTCAGATGTAGTACCCGCTGTCAAAGATTGAGAGTACAAAATCTCTTCTTCAATGATATCTCCGCCGATGTAACGAACATAAACTATTAACTGTGCACAATTAACGATGTCGGTGGATTCATCGCAACTAATGGCGAAAAATGGCGATAATTTTACTTTGTTAATTATTTGTGCCTTAATGTCTGCTGCAATGTCATCGATTCTACGCTTGACTGTATTATTGGAAAGAGAAATAGACTTCATTTTTTGCTCTGCATCTTCTCCTAAAATTATCTGCGTGGCTTTTAGGACACATGGTTTTATTAATTCTTCACCGATAGTATGAGGTTTCTTTTGCTTTGCTATCATAAAAGCTATTTCAAATGAAGCTTTGAGATGCTGCGATACACCTGTGTGATAACTTCCCGATTTATCCAATCTCATCCGCTTGAGTGATTCTGCTTTAGAAGAAAAAAACTCTTTCGTCTTCAAAAGCAGAGTAGGATGTTGTTGCTTTAAATGCCTTTCAAGGCGATTGGGCCTCATGCTATCATTACTTAAAACTTTCATACATCCAAATCCAAACTTAATGTAATCTTCGGAAAACTTTCTTTTTTTCGCTGCCATTTTGCACCTATAACAATAAAACAAATAATCAGTCACATTGGCTGATTTATGAACGCGTCTCCGCTCTATCACCAATTTAGTAAATTAAATAAAAATGGTGAGTGATGTTTGTAAATACACAAACTTACCTTTTAACAGTGAGACACAATAATTTTGCACACTCAAACTAATTTTTCAACAATAAATGTACACCGAAAGTGCAGGAATGAATTTCACAGATGCTTATGCGCGTCCGGAGGAACTCAATTGTTTTCTAAACTAATGGATGAATGTTAAGGGAGCGGGTGCCGCGGCGTGCGCGCGGGTTTCATGTTGTGACTTGTCGAAACTTATATAAACTGCGATTGACGACGTCGGGTTTTCGTCGGGGTCAACTGGTTGACAGAATAAATAAGTGAATAGGTATTATGTTTAATTGTATTATGTTGTATGTTGTTTTTTTTTCCTGTTTACCACCTTAGTGATAATAAAAAAAAAGGAAATGCAAACGCTTTGCGCCCCCCTTGACATATCTCTATGCCCCCCTTGGGAGGCGTGCCCCCCTGGTTGGGAACTCCTGATCTAGTTGGTATTGTTGATCGAAGAATAAGACAATAGAAGTCGTATAGACGCGCGACCTTGTCGCCGCTGTGATGTGTTGATGAACATCATTCACCATTTTGTGATTTAATTGCGCGGGGAACGTCGTGCGAGAATATATGTTATTATGATGGTGAACTGCAGTATAATTAGTTGTAAAAACTATCCAAGTACGTGTAATTCAACTAATAAAGGCATCACATTTCATTTAACTAATTAACATCTAGATAAATACTTTACTATGATATTTACCTTTGTAAACTTTCATTTATTGCTTTTCGTATTGTACAATTATCATTGCTGCTTTTGTTCTATCGTAATACGCGACAAACTCGCCAAGCAATGTAATGTGAAACATTAGATGTCTATTTGCGAGCGTTAATTCATTTCTATTGTCTTACTATTACGATTTCTGTGGTGGTAACTGATAAACTTTTAAATAAAAAACAATTTCTCAATTATAATGACATTGTGTTCAACTACACTCTACTAGTGACATCTGGTAAACGTAATATTAATAGCCGTGGCAACTATGGCAAAATCTTCTCTTTCCGTATATATTATTATACTCTATGATCTCCTCTGTGAGCCAATCTGTGGTGGATGCCTATGTGGATATATATAGTGGATTTTCATGAGCTGTTTTTATAGGTACAAAATAGTAGATATAAACAAATTACCTATATAAAATAAACTTAGGAAAAGCAGTGATAAGCATATTTTTTTATGGAATAAGTGTGACAAACGGGCACTCAGTCCACCTGATGGTAAGTGGATGCTGTGGCCCATAGACATCTACATTAACCTCGATTAAGAACCCAAAAGCAGATGAGTTTTCACCCCTGAGAACTAAGTTGGAATGCCTCGTTTTCAGTAAAAAGTTTCTCCGGTTCTCTCGGAAACTCTCTCTCTGCATTTTGATTTTTAATTGAAGATAAATATAGATGTCTATGGGCCACAGCATTCACTAACCATCAGGTGGACTGTGTGCTGGTTTGTCACCCTTATTCTATAAATAAATAAAAATGGAACAAGCTGGTATCATCACAAGGGCATCAACGCCTTACAGAGTAGCCCAATAACATACACACTTAAAAAAAAATGGGCACCTGTAAAGTAATAGAAGGTTCGTTAGAAATATCTAGAGCTAACAAGGCTAATTCTATAAATTTCTGCTTTTATACGTTTTTCTGCAATGGACCGGTTGTAATTTAACAAGCATACTTGTGAGGCACTAAACTACACAATAGAATGGCTGTCAACTTTATTTTGTACGAGGATCGGCGTCGCCAAACCAGATTCGCTGTGTTGACAGACTGAGTAAATTTACACATTTTAGACTTTTGATTGATGTTCAAGATCATCATTAAAAAAAATCGTTTTAATTTTAATACACATTTATTTGTAAATAGGGTGCAATTTGGCATTTTCTAAATAATTTACATGCGAAATTTGGAAACGATTTTAACGTCAAAACAAATCTCGTATTGACATTTATACGTGTGAATTGACGTGTTACTGACATTTTAGTGGCTACGCGGGCTCCGCCCACTACCCCATTCTATTATGTATGTATTATAGTATTCTATGACACTACGCCTTGCTTAAGTTTTAGCAATCCTGGTATTCGCTTAAACTTCACATAGACATACCATGACGTCATTGGTCACTTCAGCTTAATTGAAAAAAAAACTTGAATAAAACCTTTGTTGTGGATTTATTACGTTTAATTTTTTAAACTCGGGCTACGTACCTTTACTTTCTAATTATTAATTTTCGCACCGCCATGGAAGCGGAAAACACTCGAAACAGAGTCACCAGAGGGTACCAGATGGTCGGGACTCGTCTAGCTTCCCCCCGACATTTTAAATGATCTCCAGACTCCCGACAAAACTCAAAATCTCCAGACAAATAGCTTGTCTTCACATCACAGCTGCCTTTAATTTTATAAAAGCCGTGTTAGTAATCAGACTGAACTTTGTAGTAAATTGTTTAAAATTTTAAATATTTTCTGAATACTCCTAAAGTATCTAAATTGTTAGACTTAGTAAAGTCCAATGCCAAATACACGTGGCAAGCTAAAATTAAGTGTATTTAAATTAGTTATGTGTAAACAATGTTGTGTGTGATTTTACGTGGTAGAGCCACGCCGCAGCTATATTGTGGTTGTAGCACGAATGGGTAGGCTCGACCGGAGAAGGACTATACCCTCACAGAATACCATCAGGTGGACTGTGTACGTTTGTCACCTGTTTCTATAAAAAAATGTCTTTATGTGGCCTATTAACTTAAAAAATAAACTTTTTATTTTACATTTTTAATTTTAATATTCATTTCTCCCGACATCCCGATATTTTCAAATTTTGTCCAGATATTTTGGTCTTCCGATCTGGCATTCCTAGTTGTCAGTGTCTCGGTATTATACCGTTAACGTTATGGCCTTTTACAGTCCACCGATGAACATAGCCCCCCCCCCCCCCCATAGATTGCTTCATAGGGGAGATATTTGCCATAGAGCCACGCTTGGCAAGTGGCTTGGCAACGTTTTTTAATTGGTTTCAGTTAATTGTTTATACCATCTCGGGCTTTATCACTTCTCAGAACCAGGTGGGATTAAGTTCAAGCACTGAATTTTATAAGTGTTAAAAAAGGCGTCCTTGTTGCGACATTCTCGTAGCCAAGAATGATAAAGATCAAACTGTTTCAGCCAGGAGGTTTAGGTCCTTTTATGGGAGGCCCGTTTAGTAACTTCGGTCCACAACAGTACGGCCAACCACCCAATGGTTATCCAGGGAGACAAGGAGCCCAGGTACGTTATTCAGTACTGTTCTTCTATGCTAAATTCACCAAAACAAAAAGAATGAGTTGTTATAAGAATTGGAAACTCATTTAACTGGTTAGGGGTCGTCTTATTTAAAACTGTACGCGCCCCCTTTGTATTTTTGGTATATTTTATCACCTTTATCATGTTAAATATAATAAAAAGCACACAAATCTATTAAAATACAATAAACTTGGTGCACTGATTTAAATTCTATAACAATAAAATACAAGTACGGCGCCTACAGTTTTAAATAAGACTATCTCTAAAGAGGTTTAGGTCTAAGGAGGTTTTATACTGCCACGTATCGCTGCAGCTATATTATGGTTGTAGCACGAATGGGTCGGCTCGACCGGGGAAGGACCACGCTCTCGCGGAATACCATCGTGAAATAGCAACTTAATAGTGCTGTGTTTCGTGTGGTAAGTGTAGAGATCCGGAGACCCCTTTTTACTGGAAACGAGGCATTCCATCTTAGTCCTCAGGGTTGACAACGCATCTGCGTTTTGATTCTTAATCGAGGATAAATAAAGATTTCTATGGGCCACAGCATCCACTTACCATCAGGTGGACTGTGTGCTCGTTTGTCACCCTTATACTATAAAAAAAGGTATTCCATTTTAGTAGTCATGGGTGACAAGGCATCAGCGTTTTCGAAGATAGCTGTATAAGTCTGTAGGTCCACATACCATCAGGTGGACTGTTATGCATCTATCATTATAATTTAGTCAATGTCAAAATATTTTTAAATTGGCTTTTACAAATCACTTTAGTAAATATGGTTTTATTTACAGATTAAACGAGCTCACAGTCCAATTGATGGTACGTGGTTCCTATGGCGCATAGACATCTTCGATCAAGTATCAAGCTCACCCCTGAGAACTACTATGAGATGTCTCGTTCCCAGTGAAACGGATCTCCGGTTCTCTACACTCGCTATACGAAACACAGCTACATTAAGCTGCTATTTTACGCTGGTATTCTGTTAAGGCGTGATCCTTGCCCGGTCGAGTTGACCCATTCGTGCCACAACTATAATATAGCTGCGGCGTGGCTCTGCCTTGTAAAATTATTAAATTCCATTCATCATTTTCCCCTCCATCCAGTTTCATTCTATTTTTCGGTTAATATCGAACAGCTCTGTATTCTCTTATTAGTGAGTTATCAGAAAGATGCTACTGTACATTTCTTGACTGATTTTACTCTGTTGCATCTTACGAAAGCCAAGGGATGATGTAGGGTAGTGAATTCTCTTATGATGCCCCCCACCCCATCGAATAATTATAATTTCTTACATATAATTTCAACAGTATTGGCCGCAAGGATATCCGCCGCAGGGTTATCCGCCGCAAGGATACATGCCAGGGTATCCGCAACAGGGATACCCTCAGCAGGGATATCCACAGCAAGGGTATCCAATGCAGCGTAAGCTTTTTATCATATTTGTTATTTCTGAAACCTTTTAAGCAAGATTCAATTATCTTTTGAAGTTTCTTAGTTATAACCTTTTTTTATAGGATATGGTGACAAACGAGCATACAGTCCACATCTATGATTTCTTATATTTACGTGAACACTACACATTGAAATAATACTAGATTTTACGGAATTTATCGCGTATATTTAACTTTTAAATACCCTACGTTTCGAACGCTTTACGGCACTCATGGTCACGGGCAGGACTGAGATGTTCAACGTCCATATGTCATAGTTAACCCCGGTTACCATAGATTAAAATTTAACTTTTGTTCCAATCTATGCAGTATGAACTTATGGTATCTTGAAGTCTTGCAGTTGTATGCTTGGGTTGGGATTTAATTTTATTTATTATAGGATCCCAAGCAGATGGTAGCACCCAGCCATCTTCTCTATTGAAATTAGGATGTTTTTTGATTTCAATAGCCTCGCGAATCATCCTTGGGATGATAGCCTCGCGAATCATCCTTGGGATGATAGCCTCGCGAATCATCCTTGGGATGATAGCCTCGCGAATCATCCTTGGGATGATAGCCTCGCGAATCATCCTTGGGATGATTGAAATCAAAAAACATCCTAATTTCAATAGAGAAGATGGCTGGGTGCTACCATCTGTTTGGGATCCTATAATAAATAAAATTAAATCCCAACCCAAGCATACAACTGCAAGACTTCAAGATACCATAAGTTCATACTGCATAGATCGGAACAAAAGTTAAATTTTAATCTATGGTAACCGCGGTTAACTATGACATGCGTTCGAAACGTAGGGTATTTAAAAAAGTTAAATATACGCGATAAATTTCGTAAAAACTAGCATTATTTCAATATCTACATTTATCCTCGATTAAGAATCAAAATGTAGGTGTTATCACCCGTGAGGACTAAGATGGAATGCCTCGTTTTCAGTAAAAAAGAATCTCTGGTTCTCTACACTCACAGTACGAAACACAGCAGCGTTAAGCTACTATTTTACGCTGGTATTCTGTGAGAGTGTGATCCTTCCCCGGTCGAGCCGACCCATTCGTGCACAACTACACTACTAATATAGCCGCAGCATGGCTCTGCCACGTATAACTGCCCGGACCCCGGATAGAGTTCTGCGGTCAGCTGGAGAACTTTTTTTATAGAATAAGGGCGACAAACGAGCACACAGTCCATCTGATTGTAAATAGATGCTCTGGCGCATAGATATCTACAACTATCCTCGATTAAGAATCAAAATAAAGATGCGCAGACGGAATAATTTGTTACCAGTAAAAAGGGTATCCAGTTCTCTACACTCACTATACGAAACCCAGCAGCATTAAGCCGCTATTTTACGCTGGTATCATGTGAGAACATAGCCCTCTACAAATAAAAAAAAAACATTTCATTATGTGTTTTAAAAAATCCCGTTCGTTTTCTTGCTGGTTCTTCTCAGGACAGAGGTTTTTTTAACCATTACAGTATTTTTATAAGTATTATTTATAACCTACTCGTGGTTCACCCCAGCTTCGCACGTGGAGTGTAGTGTAGCCCCCACGTTAATATATACTTATTAGTGTTAAGTGTAGAATAAACAGTTAAACAGAGTATCAGAGTGGTATAATTAGAGATATAGAACGAGTAACACGTCTCCTTTTTCATTCAACATAGACATGTGTCAATCATGAATGATTCGTTTGAGCTGGTACACTTAAAAGTATTGATGGTTCATTCATTTGTTTTTGAATGTACCAGTACAACCAATCACAAAAAATTGACGGAACCTTTTTAAGATAATTGATAGAATCAGGCGTTACTTTGCGGAAATCCATTATAATAAAGATATTAATAGTTATTTTGCAACCATCCGCGAAATTAAATAAAATGATGTGTCTTCCCTAGTTTAAAGAGCAACTCCCGCTCTCCCTCATTTGCGTGCACTAATCCCGTCACCATCAATTCCAGCACCACTACTCCCAACACCACTATTCTAGGAAAGACACACCATCGACGATAATACGACACGTGTTTCGCCTCTACACGAGGCATCTTCAGGTGATGTTGACTCTACGACGGCTGACCGCTTAGAACCGACGTTTCGGGTGCTTTTCAGCACCCATGTTCACGGGGGACTGAGGTGACTGACGTCCGATGTCATTGCTAAACCCGGAGTACCTTTCGCTTTTTAATTATTATTTATGGTCCGATCTACGCAGAATGATGTTACTGTGTCTTGAAGTCTTGCAGTGGTATACTTGGGTTTAGTTTAAATTTTATTAATTATAGGGTCCCAAGCAGGTGGTATCCAGCCTCCTTGTCTATTAAATTTGGGATGTTTTTTAATTTAATAGCCTCTCGTATCATCCTTAGTAGGAATCGATGCTTTTTCGCGAGGATTTGTGGTCTTTCAAATCTGATGTAATGGTTGGGGCCGTCTAGGATATGATCACAAGGGAAGTTTGGAGTTTAACACTGACAGTTTTAAACACTGACGTCGGGACGTCAGTCACCTCTGATCCCCGTGGCCATGGGTGCTGGAGAGCACCTGAAACTCGGGTATTAAAACTAAAATAAATTAAACGCGATAAAATCCGTAAAAGTAGTTTTAATCGATTCAATTGCTATTTAATAGTTTTATTACTGTGTCTAAATAAAAATCATAACGCAATAATATAAATTAAGTTACGTATGCACTTATACACTTCTATTAAGGCACAAGACGATTTTATATTCCCTTTAATTCGAGTTATTGTTTTATATTAATTTTATTGCCATGAATTATTAACGAAATAAAAATGAAATAGTAAGATATATTACATTTTTACATGCTTAAATTTACCATGTCAATAAATTTTTCATATTTTGTTGTTTGTAACACAATAATAGATTCCGTTGTTTTTTTCCGGTAGCAAATTTCATTTTAAATCTATGCAATTTTGACGAAGGTCACCAAACAATTTGCTATTGTTATGTCTTTTTTTTTCTTTTCTAAAGACAATGTATATTAGTTAGTTATTTATAATAAATTAAAATTGTTTTGTTTTCATTACAATATTACAATATAAACTTGACAGCTGCTCGAAAGATTTTTAATTTTTTATTTTATACAATTTAATTAACATCATAATATTGTTAACAACGTTAAATATTTAAGAGCCAATGCATTTTGATGTACCTATGTAATATAACTATTAACGACGAAACTGTTTAAACTTCTGTGTAAATTAAAAAAAATGTTTAAAACTGTCCTTTTAGGTACATTTTACTTGCATTCATATTATATAATTTATTGTACAAGTTTTCTTTAAATTAGGTATGTATCACACCGGGTGATCATAATTCGATGTAATTGCAAACGTCGGTATGTACGTACATACTTTCGAATAAATAGTTCACTCAACACAACGCAACGAATGATACTTAAATGATATTATTTAATTTATTTATTAATAATTTTATATGTTTATTTAATAGTAATCAATTTATACCTAAAATATTTATCCTTATAAAAGATATATTTGACGGCAGAGTAGCGGCGTGGCTTAGCAATGAGTTTAACTCTAAGGGCCGCGGGTTCGATTCCCACACGGATCAAAAAATTTATACCTACTAATAATTGTTCCGAGTCTGGATGTTTGTCCTTGTTAATTTCATGTTCTTAAGTTATCTGCCTCCACAATATACTTAGGAAACATTCTTAGTGTGGATGTAACGATATTATAAAATAGAAACAAAAAAGATATGAGCCATGGTAGCTCAAGTTTTAAAAGTTATGGTACAATTAATTAATGATAAATATGATCTAGAATACTATAAATGTAAAGAATAAATAATATTGTAAATTTTCGTGAAATTCATAACATAATATTAGGTGGTCCATAAATTACGTGAGGTGTTTTTCTAAATTTTCTGTCCCTCCCTCCCCCCCCTTGGTCCCCCAATCTCACGTGAGATTTTTCAAAATGTGGGTATCTTACGTAAACGTGTTGGATTGTTATTGTAAAAAAAAACATTAAACGTCCTATACCTAACTCAAAAAGTATGGACATTAGAAAAAAAATTTCAAACAAAAGTTTTAGAAAATAAAATGATCTTTAAAAATAGATTTATGCATTTTATTGAAAATCTAATATTTCAAGAGTTATTGGCCACGATAGAAAAACCGGTTCATTAAATGGGCCATAAATCGTAAACGGTAAGTTTTACAAAAAAAAATTACTGGAAACAAAAGATGCGAAATTTGATTTTCTACAATAATGGTTTCTATAACTTTTGCCGTAAAGTGCATAATTTCCGAGATATCGGTTGAAAAGTATTTTCAAGATGGCGCTTGAAGCGCCACCTGGATCTGTCAGCATTTTGTGATTTTATGCCACCTAATATTATGTTATCAATTTCAAGTAAGTGATCCTAAACCTTATAAAAAATAAAATTGGATCGGAAATTAAACATTTTATTTATCAACAACGTCTTACAATCGGTGTTTCTCTAGCGCTCACGTGACCTTCATACGAATTATTCGATATTTTAATTGTTGATAATTTTTATTTTTGGATAAGATTATGGTAAGAAAAGTTATATTTTCCTTCATAAAAAAATTGTCTTTGGCCATAGGCTTGACCATGGGTTTGACTAATTGTTTTAATAATCTGATATTTCAGTACTGGTTAATCGTATTACGATATACGCTTAAGATTTAATCTTTAGCATGTACAATCTGGATTAAACGGACCAAACTAGTATAATTTTTTTTGTTTCATTCAGAAAAAAAAATTGCGTGATATTTGCCGAGACTCTTTCCAACGTAAGATTAGATGAGATTTCGACCCCCTCCCCCCTTAATTACGTGAGGTGTTCACGTAATTTATGGACGCCCGCTTATGTTATACATAATTATGCCTGATTACGTCAATTATATTAACAGTGTGACTATGCATTTTTACGTGCTAGATATGTCTAAGATTAGAGTGAGTTTTAATAAAGATATTAATTTTGTTTATGGTCGCAGCACACGGTCAGTTCA